CCCGAGACCCCCAAGTTCCACTTGTGGGGCACCTGGAGACCCCCAAGTTCCACTTGTGGGGCAGGAAATGGACCTTGAGACCCCCAAAATTCACTTGTGGGGCAGAGACGGAGCCTGGGACCCCCAAATTTCACTTGTGGGGCAGAGAATGGAACCTGAGACCCCCAAGTTCCACTTGTGGGGCAGAGACGGAGCTTGGACCCCCCAAAAATTCCATCTATGGGGCAGAAACGGATTCCAGTGACCCCCAAGTTTCACTTGTGGGGCAGAGACGGAGCCCGAGACCCCCAAGTTCCACTTGTGGGGCAGAAATGGACCTTGAGACCCCCAAGTTCCACTTGTGGGGCAGAGACGGAGCCTGAGACCCCCAAGTTCCACTTGTGGGGCAGGAAATGGACCTTGAGACCCCCAAAATTCACTTGTGGGGCAGAGACGGAGCCTGGGACCCCCAAATTTCACTTGTGGGGCAGAGAATGGAACCTGAGACCCCCAAGTTCCACTTGTGGGGCAGAGACGGAGCTTGGACCCCCCAAAAATTCCATCTATGGGGCAGAAACGGATTCCAGTGACCCCCAATTTTCACTTGTGGGGCAGAGACGGAGCCCGAGACCCCCAAGTTCCACTTGTGGGGCAGAGAACGAGACTTGGATCCCCTAAAATTCCATCTATGGGGCAGAGAATGGACTTGGACCCCCCAAAATTCCATCTATGGGGCAGGAAATGGAACCTGAGACCCCCAAGTTCCACTTGTGGGGCAGAGAACGAGACTTGGACCCCCCAAAATTCACTTGTGGGGCACCTGGAGACCCCCAAGTTCCACTTGTGGGGCAGAGAACGAGACTTGGACCCCCTAAAATTCCATCTATGGGGCAGAGAATGGACTTGGAGACCCCCAAAATTCACTTGGGGGGCAGAGAATGGATTCCAGTGACCCCCAAGTTCCACTTGTGGGGCAGAAACGGAGCCTGAGAACCCAAAGTTCACTTGTGGGGCAGAGAACGGACTTGGAGACGCCCAAAATTTCACTTGTGGGGCAGAGACGGAGCCCGAGACCCCCAAGTTCCACTTGTGGGGCAGGAAATGGACTTGGACCCCCCAAATTCCATCTATGGGGCAGAGAATGGACTTGGAGACCCCCAAAATTCACTTGTGGGGCACCTGGAGACCCCCAAGTTCCACTTGTGGGGCAGAGAATGGACTTGGACCCCCCAAAATTCCATCTATGGGGCAGAAACGGAGCCTGAGACCCCAAATTTCCACTTGTGGGGCAGAAACGGATTCCAGCGACCCCCAAGTTCACTTGTGGGGCAGAAAAGGAACTTTGAGACCCCAAACTCCACTTATGGGGCAGGAAATCGACTCCAGCGACCCCCAAATTTCACTTGTGGGGCAGAAAAATGAATTTTAAGACCCCGAATTTCACTTATGGGGCAGAAAAATCAACTTCAAGACCCCAAACTTCACTTGTGGGGCAGAGATCGGATTTTAAGACCCCAAATCTCAACTTGTGGGGCAGAACCGGATTCCAGCGACCCCCAAGTTCACTTGTGGGGCAGGAAAGGGACTTTAAGACCCCAAACTTCACTTGTGGGGCAGAAAAATGAACTTTGGGACCCCAAACTCCACTTATGGGGCAGAAACGGATTCCAGCGACCCCCAAGTTCACTTATGGGGCAGAAAAAGGAACTTCGGGACCCCAAACTCCACTTGTGGGGCAGGAAATCAACTCTAAGACCCCAAACTTCACTTATGGGGCAGAAACAGATTTCAGCGACCCCCAACTTCACATGTGGGGCAGAAAAATCGACTTCAAGGCCCCAAACTCCACTTGTGGGGCAGGAAATCGACTCCAGTGACCCCAAACTTCACTTGTGGGGCAGAAACCAATTCCAGCGACCCCTAAGTTCACTTGTGGGGCAGAACCGGATTCCAGCGACCCCCAAGTTCACTTGTGGGGCAGGAAAGGAACTTTGGGACCCCAAACTCCACTTGTGGGGCAGAAAATCGACTCCAGTGACCCCAAACTTCACTTGTGGGGCAGAAAATGAATTTCAGTGACCCCAAATCTCCACTTGTGGGGCAGAACCGGATTCCAGCGACCCCCAAGTTCACTTGTGGGGCAGAAAAATCAACTCTAACACCCCGAACTCCACTTGTGGGGCAGAAAATCGACTCCAGCGACCCCCAAGTTCACTTGTGGGGCAGAAAAATCAACTTTAAGACCCCAAACTTCACTTATGGGGCAGAAAAATCAACTTTAAGACCCCAAACTTCACTTGTGGGGCAGAGATCGGATTTTAAGACCCCAAATCTCCACTTGTGGGGCAGAACCGGATTCCAGCGACCCCCAAGTTCACTTGTGGGGCAGGAAAGGAACTTTGGGACCCCAAACTCCACTTGTGGGGCAGAAAATCGACTCCAGTGACCCCAAACTTCACTTGTGGGGCAGAAAATGAATTTCAGTGACCCCAAATCTCAACTTGTGGGGCAGAACCGGATTCCAGCGACCCCCAAGTTCACTTGTGGGGCAGGAAAGGGACTTTAAGACCCCAAACTTCACTTGTGGGGCAGAAAAATGAACTTTGGGACCCCAAACTCCACTTATGGGGCAGAAACGGATTCCAGCGACCCCCAAGTTCACTTATGGGGCAGAAAAAGGAACTTCGGGACCCCAAACTCCACTTGTGGGGCAGGAAATCAACTCTAAGACCCCAAACTTCACTTATGGGGCAGAAACAGATTTCAGCGACCCCCAACTTCACATGTGGGGCAGAAAAATCGACTTCAAGGCCCCAAACTCCACTTGTGGGGCAGGAAATCGACTCCAGTGACCCCAAACTTCACTTGTGGGGCAGAAACCAATTCCAGCGACCCCTAAGTTCACTTGTGGGGCAGAACCGGATTCCAGCGACCCCCAAGTTCACTTGTGGGGCAGAAAATCAACTCTAACACCCCGAACTCCACTTGTGGGGCAGAAAACCGACTCCAGCGACCCCCAAGTTCACTTGTGGGGCAGAAAAATCAACTTTAAGACCCCAAACTTCACTTATGGGGCAGAAAAATCAACTTTAAGACCCCAAATCTCAACTTATGGGGCAGAAAAAGCAACTTTAAAACCCCAAAATTTCACTTATGGGGCAGAAAAAGGAACTTTAAGACCCCAAACTTCACTTATGGGGCAGAAAAATCGACTTTAAAACCCCAAAATTTCGACTTTTTTGGGGCAAAAAAAAACGAACTTTGAGTTTCCCCCCCCCTCGAGTTTCATTTTGGGGCAGAAAAAGGAACTTTTAAAGACCCCAAAATTGGGATTTTTGGGGCAGAAAACGGAACTTTGAAACCCCTCCCCCCTCCCCAAGAGCTTCACTTGTGGGGCAGCCGCCGGACACGCCCCCTCCCCGGAAGTCTCCGCCCCCTAAACGCCAAATATGGAAGTGTGGGAGGGGTTTTGTGAAGTGGGGGCGGGGCGGGGGGTTGGGCGTGGCTTGGAAAAGGCGGGGAAAAAACGTGGGGGGGGGCGGAGATTGAAG